GGATGTGAAGGCAAGCATGTCTGTCTTGTTTTGTAAAGCCCTGTCGAGTTTCGACTGGTGTGCTTCTGTACTGACATTCCTGCCTGGTTCTCCGAGTTGCAGATATTCAGAGGAAGAGAGGGTTTTGGTTACTTTGTTTTGTTTTTAATGTCAAGTTGCTGCTTAGCAAGGCTTTGATTTTTGCTGTTGTTTCTCTGTGGGGAAATATAACCCATATTAAGTGTATTTTGTTTAGTATGCCCAAGACCTATAACTTTGGAAGTATTATGTACCTGGTTTTTCAACTTAAAGATACAAGAATTTTTACTTTTTAAAATAAGGAGGCTGTAGTGCTAGGGGAGGTCATCAGTTCCTGTACCTTGGAGTGAACAGTGGTCATTGGTAAGCAAAGCAGGTTTTTCCTGTATTAATTCAACCATTGCAATCATGTGAAAGCACTGGAGGAGAAACTGCAATTAAATTTGCTATCAGTCACACCCATCAAGTGCGCTTAACGTTTGATGAAACTTTTTTTCTGTCTGTCCTATAATTCAGTGTTCTTTCTTTGAGGCTGTGGCTGAAACAGACAGACTGTAAACTGCAGTGTGGAAATGTGTGTTTAAATTTACAAAATAATTCCTAACTTTAAAGCTATTTTGGAAGTTTCCCTTCTTCCCCCTCAAAAATTACTTTTTCAAGCAGTATGTAAAAGTAGAAAGACTTTTTTTCTTGTTTTTTGTTGTTGTTGTTTTAAGTGTCAGGTAAGATTTATGTGTAAGAGAATTGAGAGGTATATTAAAGACTGTTACTATCCATCATTTTTACAGTAGTGTGAAGGAAAATAACACTGTATGTATGTGTGGCTAGATTTGCAAAATTGTTAAAGGAGCCAAATTCAAGTGCAGTGCATAATTCCAGGGATAACTGTTTGGACATACAATTTCTTTCCTCTTGGGTCATCGGCTGAAATTTTGTGTGTCACTAGTGAACAAAGATCTGTTGCTGCTTGACAATTATTCACTGACTTAGATTAATAAATAAATATTGATAGGTATTTTTGTCCCTGGTTTCAGATATTTATCTCTAGCTGAAAGTAAAGCTCTCTTCCATCTTCTATCCCCAAAAATGTTATTCAGAATTTTAACAAAGTCTGAGTGGAAAAGGGTTAGGTCTGTGATCCCATTCCTTCGAATCTTTTACTCTTTGGTTTGTTCTCATTTGCATTGCTTTATTTTCCCTACCTAACAAAAGATAGCCATCTTCCCACGAGGCACTCTCACTTCCTTCTTTTTCTCCTTTCTTCCCAACTTCTAGTGGGATCTTAGCCAATGGTTGCATTTACTTTTGGTCGGAGGAAAAAAGGAACGTGGGGGACAGTTCCTTATGTCCCGTACTGCAGAGGGGGTTTGGACTCACATCTGCTGACATCTCGTATGCAAGCTTCCTGAGACGAACATCTGTAAAACAATTTGCTTGTCATGCTGAAGAGGCTGCGGAATAAGGGGAAATGAAGTCACCAGAGAGGGGCAGAACTCCAGAAAGAGTTTCTGATATGGGGCAGTTAATTAGATACTTGAAAGAAGCACTATCTGTTATCTAGTATTAAAATAGTTACACTGAGAGAGAGGAGGAGAAGTGAACAGTTTCTGCTGTTTTGGACTGTTGTAGAAGCAAGGGAAGATGAAGCAGTAGAAAGGTGCAGAGCTCTACACCTTTCCCTCCGCTGCCCCCACAACTCAGAAATCTCTCTTCTCCAGTAATTCGGAGTTAAAGTTCTGAAAAGGAGAAGAGAGGGAATTGAAGTCACTGGCATTTACGGGGCCACTTTTAAGGCTTCACCTAGAGTCAAAAGAAACTATCAAACAAAGTGAATATAGAGAAGTTGGATTTGACTGATTTTCAGAATTGTTCTGTAACTGAAGTAAATGAAATGAGCTTTATTGTCTGCTAAAGTAACTCATCTTGAGTTTCCAAATTCCAAGTGAATTGTGTGTTTCTTCTATAAATATTGGAAAGTAGTTGCCAGGTGGAAAAATGAATCACCTTTCTCCTTGCATAGATTCTCCCCTTTCTTCAAAAATATACGGTTGCAGGTTCATGCAGCCAGTCCTCCATTGTTAGTTTTATCTTCTTTTGACCATACGGTGGTACGTTTTCTTATATATGCCAAAAAGATGGTGCCAAGCCCAGGTGTCATTTAAAGTATCTTCCTGGCTCTCTTTAAGCCCTATAGAGCACTTGAAAATCGAACATTTCTTTTGTCCCCATTTAACTGAGAGCTTTAATGAGGTCTTGCCAAAACCTCTAAAACAGGGAACAATCTGAATTATATGTTTTATGGAAGCTCTGTGCCAGAGAAATGAATAATTGCTGGAGAATACTTCTGTGACATAGCTCAGTGGTTTGAGTTTAACAGAAGTGTGGTAGAAGCTTTGCGTTAAGGAGCAAGTCTATACTTAGCTCACTGTAATGCTCTTAGCATGCTTAAAGGAGGCTGTTTTGTTTTGATGTCTGAAATTCTTCATTTAAAGCTTCTTCCAAAATCTCCCTCTCAAGTATAAAGGTTTTTGTCACGTTAAGTCATTTATATGACTGACAAATAAAATTCAGCAGAGAATTGCAATCCCAGAGAAATGGTTTTAAAGGAAATAAATCTGAGAAGGAAGATTTAGTACAGGTAGGGTAATGCCTCTCCTGCAGTCAGTGGGCACTGGATTTTGACTTCAGACTACTTGAATTCTGGTGTTGTAGCTATAAACACTGATTAGTGAGACTGAATTCTTCCCAGGTGTTGAAATTACATGTGCTATTGCAGTGTTAGGACTGTTCAAATTCATCGGAAACAGGGACTTTACAAACAGAAGCGTTTCAGAGAGGACTGTGCAAATAGAGTTCCTTTTCACTAACTCAGTCTGGTGGCTGGATGGCCGTTATTGAAAGTCAGTCAGCTTTCTTCAGAGAAATTGCATCTGCAAATTAGCCCTAGATGCTTCAGTTTAAATACAATTTCCTGCAAACAGGGGTTCTTTGTTCTTTCTTTTAAACAGCCATTAAGAAGTACCTCTCAGAACCATTGATTGAATGTGTTCTGAAACTGCTTGGTTTATTCAATATATGGATGACTGTTACTCATTTGTTTAGCTAATAGAAAAAAATTGTTCTACCAAAGCATACTTGAAAAACCTTTTGCGTTGCTTGAATGGTTACTCTCCTGAAAATTAGAGGCAGATTAATTTTGGCTCTACAGTTGGGTATTTTAAGTTGCTTTGATATTACTCTCGTTCCCCAAATTATTTATTTGCAGTTCTTGGATTTACCAGTAATTAAAAAAAAAATCTTTAATTTCTTCCAAAACTGTGGGAAACGTACATAAATTTCTTCTGAACCCTTTGATACCAGTGCACTAGAAGTACAGAAATTGTAGCAGTGAATCAGGCTTGTTGTTCATCTAGTAGAATATATGAGCTTGTTCAGTTATTTTTCCTGCTTAAAAGTTTGAAGCTATCACTATTTTAGGCCAGTTGCTATTACAAAGTTGGCTAGTGGAAGTCGGGAGCAGCTTTCTATATATAGTAATGTACAAAAGTTCCAAGTGATTATAGTTTAGTAGTCTAACCCTGCGAATGCTATATTCATGTTGATAGTTTTCTTGGAATGGAAAACATGAAGTATGGAAATAGCATTTGGTAAACAAGCAGAGAGATCACAGGAATGGGTATCAGACATCATGCTGGTTTGACAGCATATGAGTTTTAAAATGTGCTAGGAGACTGTCAAGTGATAGTGAGAATGAATGGAAAAAAGAGCAGGAAAGAAAAAGAAAGAAAGAGGCATTGAAATAGAAAAATGGGGAAGCTGAAAGAGGAACACAGCAAGTAGGGACACTAAAACTAACCCTAAAATATCGAGAGGGAAATAGGAGCTGTCAGTTGATGTGTTGGCCTCATACTTGCAGACTGTGTGTAAAGGTAGCTTAGAAATACTGATTCATGGGGCTTTACCAAGTCGCGCGTGGAAGAGCTGAAAATTCTTTTCCCATTTCTTTTTATACCCTTCAGATTTATGGCAATGGATGACATACCTAGCTGACCATAGGCAACATCTTGACAGGTTGCATATTGGGCACTATGATTATTTTGTTCTTAGAGATTTCATTGATAGGCTTTTCCTGCACTGAGTCAATGTCTGTGTATTTGTGAGATGTATTTAGGGGGAAAATATAATATACTTCTCCGTAGTATTGGGCATTTTCCAGATACCATGGATAAGAAAGGAAGGGATTACATTATTCTTCGGTCAGTAATCAAGCTGCTGAAATTTTATTAGAATTAGAGACCATACTGCTCGCCCTGTTGACCTAATAGATTAATATGAATGATAACTTTTGACCTGGATTATTTGGGGGGCTTTTTGTTTGTTTTTTCCCCAAGTGGATTCATCTTTAGGTTTCAACAGAACAAACAGTCCTTCTGTAGCGCTGTGTTTTTCTAGAAGTCTATTTAACTGGCTAACCCCAGTCAGGTCATGTTGGAACTTCTGTACCACTGGACATCCATGGTAGAGCTCCATATAGGGGCAGGGATTTGGGCTGGCATCTTCCTTACTGGATAGGAATCTACTCTGAACATTATCGTAATTATTCCTTAGCTATGCCTTTTGCCTAATCCTAGGTGAACTTAGAACTGTTATTTTGGCAAGTTTGTATAACTGTTGTCAAAATACTTTGTGTTTGGCTCATCCCCCTACCCAGGATATCTGAACTAGTGTGGATATTCTCACCTAGTTTTGTTTGAGTTTTGTGTGCTGTTCTGGGACTTCATATGCACACATGCTGTACCTATTTCCCACTAGTTTAGATACAGGAATCCTGATGGCATTTCCGATGAAGCACGTAGTCTGGACACCAAAACCAATAAAACTAAAGATTGTTGGCAGATAATGAGTAAATCCAGGATTACTTTTCAATCACCACATGCGTTCCATAAAAACAAACTTTCATCTGATATCTGCTACTCTTCTAGGCAAATCTTGCTCAGCTACTGAGTGAGGCTCAAGATCGAAACAAACATCTTGGTGAAGAGATTAGAGAGCTTCAACAGAGACTGGGAGAAGTAGAAGGGGACAATAAGGTATTATAAACTTTTTTTTTCCCCCCTGAATAAATGGCATGGAATGTATAAACTGAGCTGGAGTTTTGCATTTACTTCTCAGGAAAACAAAGATAAATCAAAACAATGGATTACAGAACTTCTAGAATATTTGAGTTAAAATAAATGCTCAAAACAGTAGAACCAAAGAAGCCTGTACAGGATACTAGTAAGTGCAGCTCATTATGTATTTGTGTATGCTGCTTTTCCCTGTTGTCCTTAGCTATTTATTTTGCACCGAGCTTTGCTTTAATGGTTTCAGGCTTTCTTTTTTAGAAAATATATTTAATTAGTGGTATTTCCTCCTGTAAGTATGGATGAGCATTTCATCTTCATCATGTGATAATTTTTCACTGTAATGAAATTGCGGAATTTTAGTAGATGATAAAATCAGGGAAGGCATAATATTTCCCCTCAAAAATATGGGGCAGGTGGTCACAAATACATACATTTAGCTTTATATTGAGCCCTCATCCTGATACCTTTACATAACCAATTTATTTTATTGCTAAATTCAGCAAGTTATATGGAACATTGCTCAAAATCTGCCATTTGGTATTAATCTAACTCCTGTTGTCTCTGTTAATTGAAATATTTAAACTCAAGCCAAATCTGTGTAACATTCACAGCTGGAGCTGTGTGCAAAAGCACATTCAGAGATCAACCTAGCGAGAGGCTGGCTTTGAGACCAGTTGGGGTGGATAGCAAAGAACTAAAAGACAAAACAAACAATGAATGACAACTTTCTCCCTCAGCTGAAGTTTTAAAGTTAGAGGTTTTAAAAATGTGAATAGAAATAGTTTTGGCTTTTTTTATCGAGCTGGGGCAGGGCTGTTTGTTTTAGTGTTTTTTTAGGGGGGGATTTTCGTTTTTTTTTATATACATGTGTGGTGATAATATACTTTTATTTGTTGTTTGTCACAGGTGGCTTCCTTGGGGGTTGTGTGGGGAATTGGGGAAACGGTCAGATGAGACCTGAACTTTTAGTATCCATGACATTCAGTGCAACTTGCTCAAATCTTTAAAGAGCAAATCCCTCGGTGGTTCTTTTATTTGTGTGTTACTGTTTGAACTATACTACAGTGTTGAGGACAGTGCTTGGCGTTTCTACAGTACCAAGAGAAACCGTGAGATGAATAAGTACCTTGGGCAGATAGTGCTTCTTCAGCCACTCGGCACTATGTTATGCCACACAGCCTTTCCCAAGCCGGTTCTGAACAGCTAACAGCAGCTTTGTTAGTCCAAACAAGCACAAAGGTAGTACAATTATAAAGCGTTATGCAATTATAATGAGCTGTTTCATGGGTATTGTGTCATACTCGCACATAGCCTTAGAGGGCTTACCGTACCTTTAATTTGAAGTCTGATTGTAATTGCAGAGATTACGATTGTGTAATCCATTCTGTACCAATCCAAATGCTTACACAGGGCCCCAGTACTGCCAGTGATATTCTGTCCGTTTGTGTAGCGGCAGGTAGGCGTGTTGCCCGTTTAAATATGGATGGCTCTAAGTCTTGAGAAGGAGCTTATAAATAAGCTTTTTACCTTTATCTGAGACTTTACTTGGACGTTCAGGATCTCTATTGCATGTTTTGTATTGTAGATTTGAAGGCTGGGGCACTATTTTTGTACTGTCGTCATGTTTCAGAAGATATCAGTGAGTTTAAATATCAAGGTTTTGTACCTATTCTAATTCCCTATAATAACATGATCTTAGTAACATAGACCCTACTCTTTTATGCTCTGAGCTGGTTTTGCTTAGATTTGTCTTTGCCAATTAACTTGATAATAGCTGGCCATCTTTGTGAAATCTGTATTCTGGGCATGAATTTAAATTAATGACTCTCATAAGGAATGAGACAATACACGGAGTCATTCTGCCCACCACGTCCCTCTCCAAAAGGTGCAAAAAAGCGCATCACTGGGGGGGAAAAAAGGGGGAAAAAAAAAAAAAAAGGAAGAGGAAGGAATTGCATCAGACAGGGGTTAATTTAGACTAAGAATTTCATTTTTGGAACACATTCTTCACTTCCTTAGTAGATAAGAAATAGAGCTTACTTCAGAGTCAGGTTGCTGTTTTTTGAAGTGCCTAAAAAAGCATTACCATATCTCTGAGCGATTTAACGCTTTCCTCCTGTGTCAGGTTTTGCCCCCTCCTAGTTTTGGTGATAAAATTCTGGGCTTGTTCCCGAAGCCATTCTGTTCTGCTCATCAGTTCTCCTCTACTGGCAGCTGGGTTACTTCAGGCACTGAAGTCCAGATAATGCCTGGTATATACAAAAACAAAGAACTATAATAATTTGCTTGTTCTTACATTTTTTCCCTGCATTCTTCTCTCTGTTTTTTCCAAAGTGAGGGAGGGCATCCTGCCCAGCTGGTCTACGTCAACCTTACTTCTGGCAAGAGATGAACAAACAGCTGCTTTTGCAGCGAGGGAAGCTGCTTATGGATGAACAATTCTGCCTGTGTCTGAGCAGGGGTGACTCATGCAGGCTTTGTCACTGAATGGCAAGAGCTTTGTAGGACTAAAAAAGAAAAAACTCATTTTAGATATCATACATTAGCTCTATTGATAAATGTTTTGATGGCTTGACTTGTTTTTACTTGCTTTAATGTTTGCCACTCGTAGGATCCAGTCACTTGTATTAGCAAGAAGATATTAAAGTGATGATCAGTTACTTGCTGTTGAAATCATGTTAAGTACGTAAACAGTTAGGCAATAGCAAACTACTTGTATTTGGTTTAACTAGACTATTTTTTTCCTTTAATTCAGCTAGAATTCTCATGGCACAACTAATAAAATATCTTCAGGCAATCTCCAGAAGGATTTGTTGCTGCAGCTTCAGAAATACCGCAGCAGTTGCACTGAAGCATTCTAGCAACAGACTTCTAAGACTATTTGTTTTTATGATTGATCACAATCTCTTAACAACTCTGACACATGAAAACTATTCAGTGTTTATGATATATTTATTTATTATTTATTTGGAAATCTTTTTCCTTCTTAGCATTCAGCCAGTAATGCTTGGAGAACAATTACTGAAACTTAGAGAAGGATAGTTATGGAATCTTATCCTTTCTCTTAAAGGGGAGAAAATGGAAAGCAGGAGAGAAACTGGAGGCTTCTAGAAGACTAGATGACTCAGTTGCCTCCCCTTGCGTTCCTACCCACACAAAGAAATGATTTTGTGAGCCATTGAGGGCAGTGCTAAGTGAGAGGAAGATACTTGATGCATGGAAAACAATAGCTGCGGTATTACTGACAGTTCGTTATTATAAGGCAAACAATCATTTATGCAGTAACAGTGCAAAAAGTTAAACGTGGTGCATATGTTTTGGCAGAACTGGGACTTTATGTAACAAATTTACATAGTTCTGGTCCACGTTTTAAGATTTTGTAAACAACATGGTGGAGGTAATTGCTGTCAGTGACTGTGGCAAAACACGATGGTTGTTGTCTTCCATGAACAGCTTACTGTTTGTGCTCGTTTTCCTTTTCCTTCTGCGTGTTTTGCTGGTAATCAAGCACTTAAAACTCTGGTACGGGCCTTGTCTTTGGTCTTCCAGTCTGCACAACAGCTGTCACAGTGAAGCCTCTCTGGGGCATCGTGGTGCTCCTGTGGAGATGCTACTTTATGAATAATTCTTTTGGCTAAATTATTCTCATTGATTTTAAAAAAGGCTGCAATATTTAAGGTAGACTAGTGGCTTGCTGCACTGGCTTGTTTTTGCTAACGGTATACTGGCCCTTGACAAAGGGGAGCTATCTGTGGTAAAGCGCGGATAATGTAAACCTGGGCTGCTGTGACTGCTGCTGACAGAACCGCGCGGGGTGCTGCGAACCTCTCCTGCTGCTGCCGCGTGACGCCGAGCGGTTCTTCCCTCAGTGAATTTGGAATGGCACAAATAAAAATATGGCAGCCAGAGGGCAGGTGTCTACAATTTATAACAAGGCACTAAAATATGAAATAAACCCTTAACCCTCTGGCATAACACTTAGTGTCTCTTTGGGTCACAGCGTTTTAAGGGAAGCGTTTTATAGCAGGTGGTGCTGCCTCCTGAGATGGTCACAATACAGAATTAAAGGACTTGGCCTGCTCTGCCCTGTCAACTCCCTGATTGGCCAACTGTCTGGAAGAAGCACTCTGTCCTTTCATGGATTGGCGATTTACTTTATTTTATGTATGCTGGTAATGTTTCTTTCACTGGCTGAATTTGGGTTTCTGAAGCCGTCTTTCCATAAGACTTAATACATTGTTTCCCCTCAAACTTATTAGTAAATAAAGAGCCTGCCTTTTATTGGCAGACTGTTTGACCTTGCAAGCAATAATTGCTTGCAGATATAATTGCATCTTATGCTTCAGCCCCTGTGGGCTGGAGGAGGGTTGGTCCTGGTGTGAGTCACTGCTCTGATGCAGCTCCCAGCCTGGTGCCGTGTTGTGGAGAAGGTCTGCCCTGCTGCAGGCACTGATGGCCTCCGTAAAGACTGATTTCCCCCTCACATTTCCAGTTTTTCTGAACAAGACTGAGTCTTTATTATTTTCTTTACTTATTCTTGTTGCCCTTCTCACTCAACACTGAGAGAGATTCTAGAAATATGAATTAATCACGTTATCATGCCTTTTCCTCATCAGCCTTTTAGCATTTAAAAAAATTACCCAGCAGCTATGAAACCGTTCCAGAATTTGCTAGTTACTGTTTTGGCTTACTAGTTCGCTCTTTGTTTTAATAAAGTATTTAGGAATTATATCTTCTGTGACCCATTCAGCTATACTGACTGTGCAGCAGTTTGTACTTTCCCTGTGGGCAGAGGGTTATGTAGTTTGCCAAAAATAGTTACTTTTGGGGCCACTGCTTTCCCTTAACAAGTGAACTGCTTATCAGAACAAGTTGTACTAGCTTCATTGAGTTGCACTGAACTGGAGCTGAAACAAGTGGGGAGGATCATTTTGGTAGTCTGTCTTGCATCAGCAGGATTTTAATTGGCACATCGCAGCTATGGTGACTGGCATCCCATAAATACCAAAGATGGATTTTAATGTGTAATCTTCCCTTTTCAGAAGACTGAATTTTCTCACTCTACAATATAGTAATGCACATTAATTCCTTGGTGTAGTTGAAAATGTGGGGAAAGTCAGGAGGGTTATCACAGTGGGTTTCTCCAGTCTCTGTGGAGTTCCTACAAATTAGGCCTTGGGGAGGCAACGCTTTTGCCCAGTTGTACACCGTATGCACAACTGTAAATGCTGCATGCTGTTGTTTTACTCCTTCATAATTCTTGTAAGGTAATCCTCATGGTAGTTGCTATTTGACTCAGATATTGAATGTGACTGACTTAAATTAAATCAGACTTTTCAAGAGGCACGAAGTTGATGAGTTCATTAACTGTTGGTAGATTTTGGCCAATTCCTGTGTTGCTGGTGCATCTTTTTGTTTTAATATTAATTAACTTTTATGAATAATCAAAATATAATGCACAAACAAATGTATAAACAGCTGTTCACGCTACTTCTGCATTGGGGTATTGTAATGGCGTTTTGTTTAAGAGGTGTTGGCAAGGTGAAGCTGAGCAAGCCCCTTTGTGCCTTTTTTTTTTCCTTACCTTTTCTGCTGCAGGCAATTTTAAGGCCTGTATATGCAAATGGTTTTCTGAGAATTCTCTAGTTTTTGTCTGACCAGAATTAATTCTTATAACTTCTAAAAACGTTGACCCCATTTCTGTGTTTACTTGGGCTTTCATCATTTGTATACTCTGGTGACAATTATTGCAGGGTCTAATGCAGCTCCTGCTGACGCTTTGGCGATTTGACTGGAGTTTTTCACTGAGAACAGCATTGAGCTCTCAGCTCAGAAAATTCCCTCTAGTTTAAATAATATAAGCTTTCTGGCTTGGAAGAGATGACATCTGTGACAGCTTTACTTTTTCTAATGCAGATGTGCGCTAATGCTACGGCCTGTGTTTTCTTGCTCACTGAGTCTGTCTTTGTAATCGCAGCTCCTTCGAATGACAATAGCAAAGCAAAGACTTGGAGATGAAGAAGTTGGGGCTCGCCACTTTGCAGCACATGAGCGGGAAGACCTTGTTCGACAACTGGAGAAAGCTCGAGAGCAAGTAATAACTACATGGGTGTACACTGTGGTGGTTTACAGAGCAGGTGTGGTAGCAAGTAAATGACTGCTTCTGCTGTGTTTTGATGGCTAACAGCTGATTAGTAGTACAAACAGTGGTGAGGGTGCTGGGATTTTTACTGAAATAGTTCTTATTGTGCACTAACTTGAACAGGCATGCATAAGAGTGAGTTGCCTCACCTCCAAGGTTCCTCCTGCTCTAGATTATTCATTCTTCTCTTTTTATGATGCGCAGCAACGGCTGGTGACAAGTCAGTATTGTCAATGAAAGAGATTCCTTAGTGAAAGCTGTTACAAGAGTGGTATTCAACACAGTATAATATGGTGGCTGATGCATCTCTTAAATATATTGTCTGGATCAAATTTCCTGTAAAGTGTGAAATTTCTCTCTTCTTCCTCCTGCCTCTTCACCATTCCTTCCTCTTGTCTCGAAAATTTTTTGCATCAGACCTCTTTTCCCTCCCTCAAGGCCGTATTAATATTATGTACCATGTACTACCCAACCTGTCAGGCTCTTTCCTGATACTGATACATAGCTTTCTGGAGGGTTTTTTGTGCTTGTGTTTTCTGTTATTCCCACGTTCATTCCTGCAAGTGTCAATTCCATCCCGAAAGCACTATTTGGTGACTCAGGAGGAGGTGCCTATTTCTTTTTCTTCACAGTGCAACAGGACTGTTCACTGTATTTGCTCTTCTGACATGATTCTTCCTGTGATATCTCCCTTCCTGAGTTCTCTTCTCTCCTGTTACCTTCTCGAGTTTATCAGTGTTGTCTGAGGTGGCGATGAAGACTTCTCATTGCATTGCAGACTTCTTTCACATTCAGTTTTCTCTCCTTGAAGGATTGAGGCACTTTGTCCTTGGCTATCTTTCATACTGGCCTCCTTTACACTGTTGCTTAATAGCAAAGTTCACCCTGTCAATTCAGCCCTGGCTTCTTGTGTACTCTTCTCAGTTCCTTTTCTTATTTTATGGAACTTCATGGCTGAAAATCCCATAATTAGTACAACCTCCCCCTTACAGAATTTCTTTTTTTTCTTTAGCCTCCAAATTTGCCAACTTCTAATTCATTTGGGTTCGTTTCTGGAGTCCCAGAAGTTATATCTAAAAACAGCTTAGTATGTCTGTAGCAGAATATGTGGTTTAAGGTTTTTTTTGCTGATATATTTTAGTCCTTTTCTAGAAATTTTGTGAACAAGTCTAACTGCTAAAGTTATTTAACCCAGATTAATGAAATAGCACCAAAAGAGAGTAAAAATAATTTTAAAACAAAATTGTTGCAAGTGTGATCAAAATAAAATGGCAACCGTTGGGATTTTTCTTTACTTGCTTGTCAATAAAATGTAAGAGGCGAATATGGGGCGAGGGGGAATACACGTATGTGAATTTCCAAGTCAGTAGTTACAGAAGTGCTGCAGCAAAGCTATAATCACAGCTGCTCTTACTATATTGTCAGCAGTACCACTGAGGGCAATAATTACATTGGAAACGTCCTTAATGAATATATTTTGGATACAACATATTCTGATTTCTTCTGATTACTTCTCCAAAGCTTTAAGGATATTTAGAATCTTGCTTGCCTTTTATGAATTGCTCGTGGGCTTTTGCAAGATGGGGGTTGTGAGCTTTGGAAATGGTTTTGACTTCCAGAATCAATCCTGTTGTGAAGTACTTGCTGCTGTTTTCAGTTTAAGCGCCGTGTAGTGTTTGGTTTACACTTCAAAGTAGTAATACAGTTCTCCTTTCTTCTCAGATCGAGACTCTGAGACATGATCTTCAGTCTGCATTGGATGAGTTACAGGATGTGAAAGAAGAACGCTCTTTTTACCAAGATAAGGCTGACAGACTAAACCAAGAACTTAATCATGTCTTAGGAGGGCATGAAAACCGTATAATCGACATAGATGCTCTGTGTATGGAGAACAGGTGAGTACATGGTGGCAGACCTTACTGTTCCCCTAGAACAAGCTGGAGCTTCAGGAAGTCGGTCACAAGAAAACTTTAAAGAAAATACATCCAGGGATAAAAGTTAAGAGATTTTGTTAATTTGTTTGGTATGTTTTGTTTCTACTATAGCTCTCCATCAAATAATACTGAGAAAGTTATGCTATGGGAAATTACTAGTGCTTTATTTGGCTACAGAGATGTCGGTGATATTCCCAAACATAAATAAACAGGGAGAAGCAAGAGAAGTACAGACCTTTTCATTCCCATCACTGTATGACATCAAAAGCAAGAACATTAAAAGTCAGTGTCTTCTGAAACTCATAGTGGGCTGTAATGGGCTAGTCTTGAATTGGAAGCAGGGACTTTGAGTACCCTGAGTTAACAATTTTGGACATACTTCTCACCACAGGGAGAGCTTGTCAACGTGGGATGATTTGCCAACACTGTGCTGGTGAAATCCCCCATGTAGACACGCCTTAATGTTTTTGTCGCTTCCTTGGAAAAAGTGTATGTTTTATGGTCTCTGCTAGGGCATCAAAGAAAAGTCACTGGCCGCAAGAGGTACCTCCCTTAATGTCAACAATTGCCTTAAAGTACAATAGAGCTTGTAAGACACTGTCCCTTTACAAAGACTTAGACCTGAGGTAGGAAAGTGTAATACCAAAGGTATTCCTTCCTTCCAGCAACTCCAGGTTTGCTTCTTATTTTGCATGGGTTGCAGAGTTTGATATCAATTTAACGACCCTCCCCTCCCTCCCACTCAAGATATTGCTGTGATCTTTTTTCTCCAAAGCAGTTAAATTGGCACGAATCCTAATACAGCTGCTGTACGTGAAAAAGGGTGTTGTATACACCCTTTATACATTAAAAAAAAAGATGTTTTCCTGTGTGGAAATAGTTGCCTAGTCCAAGTGCATGAACTGTATAAGGAGGAACTGTACAGTTTTAGTTACTGCTTACCACTTTTCAACCATACTGTTAAATTTCCTGCTTTGTGAGTGCTGATTAGACATGCTGTGTAAGTGATTGATATTGCAGTTGAGAAGCTCTGCATAGCCAAGTCTTGTGTTGACATGTATACAGATCTTCAATGTCCATCTCACAAACCTTCAAGTACAGAGGACATAAGTAAATGCTTCCTGACTAAATACTTCCTGTAGACATAAACAGATCCTTCCAGCTCCCTTCCCCAAGAACCTGAGGACCAAATAAAATGGTTTTGCAGCATGTTTGACAAATCTAACACAAGGGCAGCCTACTGTTCTGATGCTGTTTGTTTGTCTATGTAAACTTTTATGGGATTACGAGTAATAAGGTTTTGCTATTTTATGCCTCAGAAAACCACAGAGGGAAGAGAGTTCTGTCAGTGGCTCAAAAACAGGAGCTGCTAAATAATAAAGAGATGCAATAACACTTGAGTGTAACATGGTGTAAATTACTGTATTTTTTTTCAGGTATCTTCAGGAGAGATTAAAGCAACTTCAAGAGGAAATCAGCCTTCTTAAGTCTAATATTGCTAAATACAAGGTAGAATCCTCTCATCTGAATTGGGCTCTGTTATTCACAGAGGTTCTTGTTCATTCTCGTGTTTATATGCATTTAAAGAACAAAATTGTGTCTTCAAAGAAAAATGCACCATTAACAGTCTGATAATATTAGTACCTATACATATTATATGCCAAATAATCTTCCTTGTAGGTTTCTCAGCCAGTGTAGTACCAAGTGATACCTGTTAGGACTATCTTGAGAAGTGAATGAAACACCTTTTCTAAGTTCTGTGGCTCCTACTGGGGAGCCTCCCTACCTACTGGTAGATGAAAAGTAGGGGGGTCATGCAGCATGTGGTGAATGAGTACAGCTGTGTTTCTGTCACATGTAGTTCTGTCTCCCTGCTCCCTAACAACATAGCTATTTCTTGGTGTATCTTAAGGGCTGCTAAGTCTCTATTGTTCCTCCTTTTCTGGGATAAGATGTATGCTATTTTGCATGAAACCTTCAGGAATGAACCCTGAGGGCAAAATATTCTTGCTCTTCCCTGAAATGAAGCAGCCTGTTTTCTTCTCTATATGGTTTTGGGGTGTTGGGAGGGGATGGCTGCTTGTCAGGTCACGGGAAGGGACTGTCAGCAGGACTTCTTAACTAGTTAGATCACTGTATAGCAGTCACAGCACTAATTGCTTTTTATGCATAAGCAAAGATCCTTAAAATATTGCCAACTTCATTTCAGTGTCTGTTTACTCTTATGACTTGGATCTCGCAGAGTGTGAGTTAGCAGTTTATATGAGAATTGAGAATCATGGTGGTCTCTCGGGTTTCACAGAACTGTGAAGGTTTTAGAACAGCTGGACTTTTGTGGCAGGATCATGATTCTGCTGCAAACTCTTGACAGTCAGTATTTGCTCCTGAAAGAGCTTCCAGAAACTGTGTTTGGTAGAGGGGTTTGTTTGGGTTTTCCTTTTGAAGCCAATGCAAAGAAATGTTGAGGGAAGTCTCATTTCTTTCCCGGCTGACATCCTCCACAGGATATTGCAACATCTTCACTGGCACTCATCAGCTTATTCAGAAATAGATGAATGTTAAAAATGCATGAAGGGTGGAGGAGGAGTGGGTAGGAATACAATAAAGTCATTGTAATGAGACAGAACGAGTCTTTTAACATTGCAAAGACTGTTTTGGCTGGAGAATCTAATACCCTAGAAGGATCATATCCCTAAAGGACAGTATAGGTGTAGTTTCAGGCCCCGTGGGGAAGTTCTGAGACCGAAAATGGAAAATATCAGATCCTTTACTCCTAGTGAAAGGATTTGGGGCTATTGTTTTTCTAAAAATATAATATTTATTGTTTCCTTAGAATGCACTAGAGAGACGAAAAAATTCAAAGACTCATAGTAGATCCAGTAGCAGTGCTCTGACTGGAGTCCTTTCTGCAAAGCAAGGTATTGCATAGATGCAGCATGGTGTTGCACATCTTATTAATGAGTTCCTCCTATCGTACCTCTCAATTTCTATTACTTTTCCTCACTAACCTAACCAAACCAAAATCTTTCTTCTCTTTCTCGTTTATTATCATGTGCTAATTTTTTGTCCTTTTCTCAGTTGACTTGATGATATAAAGTTTCCCTCCTAATACCACTTCTCCTTTTGTTACTCTTTTGCCATTCATTCTTTCCCCAGTCAGTTAAATCAAGTCTGTTTTTTCTTATCTCTAAGCCCCTCTGCAACTTTGACCCTGACAAATCACTTCTTTATTCATCTCTTTGCTCTGATAACAATGACAGTCCCAATGCATAGTCTAGTAAAAAATAGATTGGGGTAGGGGGAGGGTTCTAAGTTGGATTTTCTGCTCCTGTTCTTGGAAGCTTTAGGTTTACATGTTTTGCAGGAATCTTGTTGCCTCATGTTTCTTCATGAGAAGGGAAACGGAGTAATCCCTTTTTTTCTCCCTTCAAACAAAAATTCAAGATTAGAAAAGAGGAGGAAAGCAGAATATTAGAGAAAATTCTTCTCTGTGCCAAACAGTGTCCCTTACACCCTATTGTTTTATCTTTCTTCATGTGTAGGTACATTCACATATACAAATGCACATGAGATAAGTAGTGTTTGTCATTGTGGGTTGAAGCTCAGTTTCCTGGTTTTGATTCCTTGTGTCCTCTTCTCTGTTTACTTGCATACATATATATAAAGAGGAGAGGCCAGACTCTAGTTACGGAAGTTAATGGTGCTAGTGAACTTGCTGATGTGGTTGAGAAGTTAACAGGCTCTAAGCTGCAGAGGAAGAGTTCACGAGTAGCTGTATTTTCACATCAGTCTGAAATAACCTGAAGGTTGTAATAATTCTAAAAAGTAATATAAAAGCTTCCTTGTGGGCTTGTGTTTTAATGTAGGAAGGGAGAGAAATACCCGACTTGTACCAGCTATGTGCTTTAGTGGCAGAGAAGAATGAGTTTGTTTCCTGCAGAGCAAAAATTACTTTTCCAAAAGCAGAATTAAGTTACCAGAAAATGTGTCTGTCTATGCTTGTTCTAGCAATAACAATCCGCTCAAAAAGCCACCACCTTCATGCCAGTTGGGTATTATATTTCTGGTCTTTGTTTTTGTTTGTTAATTGAAGGAAAATCTTTATTCATTTAAGCAGTGAGAATAGTTCTTTTTCTTTAATGCTGAGTAAATGATTGTGCCACATCTCTCTGCATGATAAGCCAAAACTCATTTCTGTTTTTAATGTTGTAGTCCAAGAATTGTTGTCGGAGGATCAAGGCTGTAGCCTGCCAGCCACACCGCAGTCCATTTCGGATCTCAAATCACTTGCCACTGCATTGCTGGAGACTATCCATGAGAAAAACATGATCATACAACATCAAAGGCAAACCAACAAGTAGGTAGCATGGCTTCTAAGTAAAGGAGAACTTACTGAGCTATGAAAAAGTCATAGTTTGGCAAAAGTTTTAGGGAAATGGGAAAGAAGGTCCGTTTTCTGGAAGATCCATTGTCATTGTTAACAAGTGGGCTCTTCTGTTTTGAGAACACAAAGATCAGCTATGTGTTTAGAGAAAAACTAGATTTTAAAAACAAAGTCTGGGGTTGGCAGCATAGTCTCTCAGCCCCTGCTAGGGAAGGATTGGGTGACTGCTCAGATTGAAGGAACCGTAGGAAACCATTTAGTTTCTAGGAATGCAGAGGGAATTCTAGCAGACTGTCTGTAGGGCAGGCTGAAGAAAAGCTGCCAAGAGGAAGGACACCCTTGAATTGGAGGATAAGATAGCTGCTGAATTTATTGCTGATGTGAGAATTTGCCAAAGAGTATTGGTGGGAATAGTAAGTGTTGCACCTCAGAGTCTGAAAAGACTGAATGTAACATTTGACACAGGCCAGGAGCCTGTGGGTCATACAACTGATAGCCATCGCTCCTATGGTTACTTTGCCAAAAGTTTTAGGAGGTAAACACACTTGGATTGCAACTGTGTGATTTTTTTTAAAATCTGAACTGAACTTTCAAGGAGAATTTGTTTACTCTTAACTGTTCTACTAATCAGTAGAATTCTTTGTATCCTGCACAGCACCTATCATGGCAGAATGTAATCATTTTTGACACATTTTCTGATATTCTGACATTATTGTCCTTATGCAATGTATGAAAATCAGAGCTAGGAAGTGTTCCTTGATTCTATGCTCAGTTTTTTTGCAACACTGAGTCACTACTGGTAATCAGAGGTTATTCAGGCTTCTCAAAGGCACATCAGGACCAGATGCCAGAAACAGGCAGGCATCTTTCATGGAAGGAAGGAGTGCTACTGAAGTAAACTGTATTGCACTAGAAGAGATGATTCATTTTGAAAATTGATAACTCTGATACTAGGCAGAATCCATTGCATATTTCTTAGTGATGTGGCAACAGACTTCTGTGGAGGAGCAGTTTATAGCCACTCTTAAATACTCTTGAGAAAGCAAATGCCTAATCAGCTGAAGGGGGACTAAAGCAGTCAAAGTGTAGCCTGGGTCTAATTGGTGGCAGCTCAGTAACCTCATGTCTGCAAGCATGTCATGGAACAGGACTTCCTGTACTGAGAAGTGTTAGTGAAGGGGCTAATGCCCTGTTAAACACCTACTTACTCCCTTATTACTGCTAATGTAACACCTGAAGGAAAACATCTAGAGAATAATTTTTATTATTCCAGGTATAATCAATCTTTGCATTTTGCATCCTGATACTGTGCCATTACTTGGTGTTCTTGTTTGCGTATTCTTGCCTATAACTGCAGCAAATGTCTTCCTTAATATTGTGTTGTTTTTTTGATCACATGCAGTCTCTTGCATCTCTCAAATGTATCAATGTGATGATGGTTCTATCCCCCGATACCACTCTCTCCATTTTAAACTATAAAGTATGGGTTTTCTTAAGCCTTCACAAGGAGATACTGTTCTTTTATCTCCTTTCCAAGCTGGTCGTATATAGCCAGTAGAGAGTTGTGTGTGTGCACAAACTAATATTGTGTGCACAACAGAAAGATGAAGTCATAGAAGGAGATGACAGTCCACCTCTTGCGAGTGGGGGGTGCTCAGAATTTTGGTGTTGTATTAAGTTTAGGATGCTTCAGGGGAAAAAAAAAAAAAAAAAAAAAAAAAAAAAAAAAAAAAAAAAAAAAAAAAAAAAAAAAAAAAAAAGAATAATAAATCTTGGGCAAGTTGAGTGAAAAACCTCAGAAACACTCCTGTGTAGTATGCTTATCCTTTCTGTTACCTCTGGCTTTATCTGGATTTCGGACGCTTTTAAGGAGGTAGGAGGAATCAGACCTACTTCAAGTAGAAGCATCTGAGGTGCAAATGAATTACAGTGGAAAAAGAGAAATGCAGGCAGGACATCAGGAAAAAAACATCCTTTATTTGAGGTGTGTTAGTTGGTTGTTTGGGACACTTTATTTACAGTGTAAAAAGTTACCAGTAAAGATGACTGACTTTTGAAAACGGAGAAGAAACAGCCCTGCTGTTGGAGAAGGTTAGAGTGAGGTCAGTGCAAGGGTAAAGCTGGCAAGTCTGTAGAGAAACTAGTACTAGTAGAAGATCCGTGTTCTTGTTTTGAAGAAGTTGTTCCGTTCTAAGTAGGGAAGTTGCGAAAAAAGCGAGGCTAGAGAGAAATGAAGGGACAAAGGTTTTGCCTGAATAAGAAGGTAGAAGTCTTCTCCTTTATCCTTCTGTCCTGTTTGCCTGGCTTTCCCTGTGCAAAGAGCATATTCAGAGGATTACTCATTCAGACTGTTGGGTAAAGAATGTAAGATTCTATTGGGTAAAGGATATGAGCTTTTGGGGTGGTTGTTTCATTCAGGGAAGAAGTTTTATTTCTGATAATTGATAGATAATTGATCAGTTAGTGATTCTGTTACCAGTAAATGAGAATCTTCAGACCATAGGAACTCATTTGCCTCCGAACAGTTAACCTACTCTGAAGTCAAAACCTGTTTTGTTGCTTGAAGACTGGGATATGGCTATGTAAGTTTACAATAAAAGAGTGGTAGATGTGCTTTTTGATTAACTGACACTATAACAGGATAATAGTTCTTTTTTTTTTTTTTCTTTTAAGTTAGATTAGATTTTGGATGTACTGTAGAAGATGGCTTTCTGCTGTTACACTGTTGTTAAAACCATCCACTGCCACTTGCTCTTGGAACAGACATGCTTTTATTGGCTTTTGTTATGGCTGTTTTTCTAAAGATGTGGCAAGATAAAGAGAACTGTAGGAATATGTACCTAGGAATTACCAGCCTATATCCAGCCTTTAATGTTTTCAGCCCCGTGTTTAAACAAAAGAAGTGTTTTGTGAAGAAAGAGGTCAGTTTCTACAGGTGATTGGTAGCTACTACCGCTAAGGTGTAAGCGGTGTCCTACATTTTTTCTCACAAGCGCATCCACTTAATTTGGAAAGGTAGTCGTAAATGAGTTCTGCATGCGGTAAGGTATTGCAAGATTAAATAATTACAGAAAGGCGAAAATAAACAGCTCTAACACTGCCCAGAAAAATCTTTCTGGCTTCCACCAGCAATAAATAGTTTATTAGATGTTCTATTTTAGCACAATTTGTTCGTGAATTTGCCAGCACCCGTGCAAGCCGGATGAGTTTAGAAACTGCTCTGCCACTGAGACATGTTGCACTCATTTTAACATCTTTAACTTGGTTGAGCTCAGTCATGGCCAAAACAACAAAAAGAATTGTGTCAATCTTTAGCCGAGTAAATATTTCCACGTCATGTGTAGAACTGGATATGCAACAGTGACAGGCCCTATTTACAGATATTTGGGTGATTGTATCTGTATGAGGGTATATGCCTTCTGTAGTAAGATCCAAATTAAAGGTGAGTTGCGCAGATCTCAGATGCTGTAAATCAGTGCATCTGCCTTGAGGTTATGCCCAGGTATGTAGGAAGGTACGGGAGAGCTAGGAGGGAGCTTCTGCATTTGGGGAGAGCGTTGCTGCTGTTAGGTGAGCAACAAGAACAACAGATTTCTGTAAAACCTCACCCTGGACAAAGGTTTGGACTAACTGCCATGTTACACTAGACACAGGACTAAATGACAACAGAAATAGCTATCAGCAGCTTTCCCAGTGACATGATCCTTTTGTTTTAGCTGAAGGATCTATCTGGTCCATTGTGGCTAGAAACAGAAAATAGATTAGAGCGTTTGATGCTATCATCCCATGCAGCCTTTTTAAAAATACCTGCTGACCTTCGAGGCCAGTACAACTTAGCCTTCCCAGAGCACGTACAGAGGTGGCAAATTATTTGGAGGCTCACAGGGGAGAGGAGTAAATGGGACCAACTAAGCTGTGTTCAGATCTGTTTACACATTTATTTTTCAAAAAATATTTATGCGAAGTACTCACATATTTATGTAGGATTAATTTGTCCCATAGCTCTCTGTGCAGATGATATGGGATGATACTAGGATGATACTCATCACTGAAAGTATTCGCTCGGTGCCTGAATGGAAGGACCACAGTTAGGTATTGGCCCCTCTTTCTGGGGACCACTGATCAGAGGCGCAGAACGATTCTTGTATGTGGGAGCCTGCAACAAAGGTTAAAAAATTGCTCAGTGCCTCTTCTGAGGATCCAGTAAGAATTATCAGAATACATTTGCTCGAAAATCCTGAGAAATAGTGCGGCACACCTGATAAATGAATTATAAAATTTAAGAGAAGCAAGACAAAACAGGCTTTGCTATTGTTTACTGGAAAACAAGAGCAGTGATGATGACCCTGAACTTCAGCACAGGGTTTAGTAGATCTGTTCTGATATTGCTAGCATAGAGTGGGAGCAATATCTTTTTCCCCTTTCCTGCCCTAGAGCTACTGGTAAATTATTAGCATGACTGATGACAAAATTTGGGGATTTTGCTGGCAAAAATGCTAAATGCATGACTCATTTGTGATGGCTAATCATTACCCCATGAGGTTTGTTTTGCTGACTCTCTTGTTGCGCTAACATATAGAGAAAGAAGTCTTGCATGATCTCTCCTTGTTCCTTGCCGCTTTAAGCAAGGGGAACTCGTTATTTTTCAGATAACCTTTAGTGGGCCCTTCAGGCAGGGAGATGGAAGTCATCTCCGTGCGTCAAGGTAGAGCCCCTTGAAAGTTGCTCTCTGCCTTTCTCCGTGAGCTCCGTTCCTCTCTACTGCTGAGGCAGTGGCCTCTAGATGTCCAGTGGCTGAACAACAAGGAGACTGAGCCATAGATTGGGATGTGGAAATAGAATTATGAAGACTTGAGTCTCTCATACCAGAAGGAAGCATTTTGAAGGCAAAATCCAGACTCCATCAGTTTTGATTGTGATTGGAAAAAACAGTAGTAGATCCATCATAACCTTGATGGCCTGTTTAATTACTGTGTTTCAGAGGAAGAATAAACTTAACTGCTCCCAAATGTCTTCTCTCCTCTGCTTGCAAACATCATGGGCTGTTTGCACTTTAATTGTTACAGATCCCTGCATATCTCAGTGCTTTCTTTGATAATTATTATAAACTTTCCCTTTCCCTTTTTATATGAATTCTCTTTCTCATCTTAATGTTTTTGTAAACTTTAAAACAGTTGCAGCTTTTCATTCCATCATTGCAGAGCCCTCAGTAGAGATTTTAAAAAATTTTTGTCCTTGTTAATCAATGTTTCCAGCCCCTTTGATTTTTGCTACGTTTTTTTCCTGTCTTTCCCTGATTCTGCCAACTTGTCAGTAAATGACGGTCCCAGTATGCTCCTAATGTCTGCAGCATAAAACTGTAGGTGGAGAGATTGCCGTGCCGTGTTACACAGCTCTGGTGGGCAGGGAAAGACCCTGTTGCCTTGCTGCGTTGTAGTGTGCTGCTCCTGAGCATTCAGTTCAAATTTACTGACTTACCCTGTTGCTGTAATTTGATGAGTGCAGTTTACTCTCCATTATCTCTGCTGTCGTGTTTAGAATTGCTGTCTTGTCTAAGTTTCTCACTGCTTGGGATTTCTTTAAAGACTTCTAACTCTAGGAGACTTGGCGTTGCCTGTGAGAGGAACACTTTCAAAAATTGATTGCAAAAAAAGAGCTTTCTTTGCAAGGTAAAAATCAGCGGATCCTGGGAGAGAATTAAGACTAACAGTTAAATCCAGCAGGAGAGCTAACCGCGAATAGCATTTATGTAGGGATCAGATACAAAAGAAGAGATGGCCCAAGAAGTGCTCTTAGTGAAAACTAAGAGCGGGCGATAAGGGCTATAAAGTGTTGGAAGCTTTTTACTAAGGAAGAAAACAGAGTTCAGAACTGAAAGAAAAGATGCAGTGGAAAAGCTATTCCTATTAAGCAATATCAGTGCTAGACAAACCTCTGTGAATAAAGCAATAGGCCAAATTGTGTCTCAAAACTTTGGAATCAGTCCAGATATTGTCTTGAATTTTACCTACTCTGTCTGCATAGCTTTACCTCCTGATTTCAGTCTGTAGAGAAAATAAAAGTCGCCTGAAAAGGGGGTATTTGCAGGTAAGGAAATGGAAATAACTGTGAATTGCTGTTGTTGGACTTTAAAGTAGAGCACAGGTCAAATGTCCAGTACATCCTAGACCACTTTTTTTTATCACAGGATATTAGGCAACTGTATTTCACTTTCTCAAGGCTTTGGGAGAGGTTATCCATTGCCATTAGTGCAAAGAAAAATGTTGATAACTGTACTGCACTAAGTAAGTAACACCGTAAAAATTCAACTGCAATCATGTAAGCAATTGAGATTTCTCATTATAGTGATCTAACCAAAGCCCATCTCAGCTAAATATCCCTGTTTTTTTGCTTTCTTTTTTTTTCTTTTTTTCCAAAGAATTCTAGGTAATCGAGTGGCAGAACTGGAAAAGAAGTTAAGAACTTTGGAAATTGCTGGCTTGTGGAGTCTTCCAGGTTAGTAGAAATTCATAAGCACAGCTCCCATTATTTAGTTTTCAAGGGTATATTTGCATTTAAGAAAAGCTAGACTATATTTTTTTTTTAATGCCAGTTATTTTGCAAGTGTGATGTTCAGCACATTCGCAAAATTAGAAACCTCTAATAAATGTAAAGTTGAAACCAAATATCACTAGACTCTTTAAGATCAATGTCAAAGATGTATACTGCATAGTTTGAGGACAAAAAAAAAATTGAACTATTTTATTTAAATGCTTGTATAAAATGAGATACACTCAGGATATTAGCCATGATCTTTTTCAATAAATTTTATTCATTAATTTTGTACTTTCTGTAATTTCCATAGGGTTTATTGGTGTATTTTTTCTTATTTTTCTGTAGGATCATAAACTCTGAGAAATTGTAAATGTAAAAGATCTTAAATTTTCTAGCTCTCTCTCTAGAGCAGGATTATTCGTGGCAGCGTCTTCTTAAATCTTGCATTTGGTTTTAAATTACTCAAGTAATGGGAGATTAATCTCTTTCCTAATAGACCTTGCTGTTACGAAAATGTGCAATCTTTAATTTGCATTTAGTTTTTGCTTCTTTTTCTCCCATTACACCTAATTGTATCTCCTTCAACCACCGTAAATTATTCTCCTCTGTTGTTGATATTTGCACTATTAGGCGTTTTTGTTTACAGTTTTCAGTTGTTACAGTTTTCACCAGTGCTACTGGAAGTGGGAACTAATGTGCTTCTAGTTTTTTGACTCTTGTGTTACTTAACACTAAATTTTCCATGCAGAAGAAAGCATTGACAAACCTGAAGAGACCTTGTGACAAACCTATGCTGGTCAACTTCTTGGACTGATATGCTGTATCTTATGGGTACTTTAGCTTGTCCACTTTAGGCCTCTCTGAAGTTTCACCTTTTTGGAATTGGTTCTGTCTGTCATTGTTTCTTCCCAGAACTGAAGGTCCCAAATTTGTTCCCATGGAGTGCACTTTAGTTAGTCACCTAACGTATGTAGTATGATGAGCGCGTTCGTCCCTTCCCACCTTTTTCAAGTGCAGGTGAAATATTTTTCCAACTCTGCTAATACATTTTGTACATTAGTACAAGTGTACATCATAAACTTACCAGTTTAATGTAGTGTAGGGTTTTTTCAAAAATAGTGATCCATTCATATACTAATAAATGCAGTGTTTCTAATCTTTGCAAAATGTGTTAAAAAGAATGTATGGAACAATGAGAGCTTCTTACTCCATTGGCAGTCTATTTAGGTAAGACATCAAATTAGTATTTATACAATAACAACTGTTTTTTTTCCTTCCTTTCTTTTGCTGCCTGAAGGCCTGAGCTACAATGTCTCAGTGGGATTTGGGAGTAGGTTCTGTTTGACATGTATATTTTTAGTAACTGATGTTGGCAGTATGTTAAATATTGTCACTGCATGTAAATAAATGGAAATGTTATCTGAACATTTTTATGTCTGTCAGATTAAGGTGTCCAATTGACTAAGGTAGATGACCGCAAGGGAAAAAAGAGGCTGCTGTACGAGACAATTCCTTTAAATTGAGGAAAATAGTGACAAAAGATCATCTTAAATAGTTGTAATGGAATTTTACATTGGGTTGCAAGTTCTGTTGAGCACCAAGGTTTGTTGGTTGATTTACTACTTCCCTATTAAATCAAGCGTGTACTTTTGTTTGCAAGTGCAGTCTGGTCCCGAGGTGGTCAGAAAGAGTCTTGCAACACCTGGTGGGTCACTAGTTTTCAGAGCACTGAAACCTTCTGCTCCATAAAACAGCAGCATGTAACAAATAACGTGGAAACTATCATAATGGACTCGGTAGCAGAATCTTGGCTTGGATGAGAGGCAGAAGGTGAAGAGTATCTCATCTAGTCAATCTCAAGTCCAGCGAGAAAAATATCATTTGATTATGAGTGGAACTTTTTCTTACTGGAAAAACATACACATGAAAGCTGATGTTCAATCTACCACGGAAGGAGGTGCAATTATAAATTGCAGGTTCTTTACGTGAAGTGAATGTTTCCCCTTAGGCATCGTTGTCCATATATCATTTACAACATGCGCCATCACCGTGATACTAATATGTTCCAAATACTTAGGAATAGTGTTAATAAACTTTACCCTACTGAGGAAAGCTTGATCACTTCTAATTTTTTAGTTAGCTAGCATATTTGTCATCTCATTTATGTGCAATGCAAGAATGAACTGTGGGGAAACTAAGTCAAGAGGATCTGCATATTTTGTTTTGAAAATGGTGAATGTGGTAGCATAAGTTCAGTTTCAGGAGAAGTTCCACCTGCCACCAATTTCAGCTTCACTTGTTTGGAAAATGGGCTTTAACTAAACCAATATCTTATGAGATTCATTGTCAAAAGAGAGAAGGCTTGGGCACAGATTTGTCTCTGGCTTTCTTTTTATAAGCCCACTTGCCTTGAGAAGGAAGCAAAGAATGTGATGTTTGCAGAAGCATTTCATTCTTTGTTTTGTGTTAGGTATGTTGCAGCTGGTTCAAATATGCATGCAAAATATGTTAAGCATATTCAGTGATAATACATAGTAAAGGCCAGTTTATTGCTCTCAAAATTTGATGTTCAGATTTAGACATCCAGATAAGTGATTCTCCATTATTTTAAGTCATCATTTCCTGAAAAAATCTTGATTTTCAGTGAAAAAAGCCTAAGAAAAAAATCATCCATGACTCAGCCTTTTTCTTTCTGGGTTTGTAGGAGTGTTTCAGTACTCCTCCTTGCTCTGCAGTCAGTGTGGAGCAGTTGAGAGGTAGCATTCGTAGACTCAGCAGCTGTTGAGGAAACAACCAGTTACAGTTGTGCGGGATTATTTAAATGGAAAAGAGGATGTAAAAGGATCCCCAAGACTGGGAGTCCTGTGGAGAAGTTTGCTTGTCCTGGAGAAGGAAGCAAATTACTGAATTTACTCCTGTTGAGGACTTATTTGTCTGCCTGTTTTGAGATCTGCATGCTAATCACTGAAGTCCTCGAGAAATTCATTAAATAGAGGAACTCTGCACAAAGCTATGTAAGTTATAAAATTCAGTTTACCCAGCAGCTAATTGAATTTCCTATGTGTAGTCCAACTTCAGGTCATGATTCACAGGAGGCAGGTCAGCAATAGCCATGTCTCTCTTTCATGAAATGACATGAATCAGTGTTAATAAATAAATACAAATTCGACTACATGGGCCATAGCTGTTGGTTAGATGTGTGGATCCTGAGCTTAGCTCTGTATTCTGTAACAAAGTCAGTTTTCATAGAAAAATATTGTGAAAGTGAGTATGTTTACTGTGTAAATGCTGGCTGAAGTCAAGAAGTTTCTTTTCCAAAGCTTGTTTTGGAAGCTTCAGGGATTCCAGCTCAGGCTTTACTTTATTATTCTGACAAAAAAACACTTTCAAAAATTCATTGTTCAGATTAATCTTTTGGAATCTTGTTCTGTTGGGTTTTACTGGATCTTTTGGGTGCATATGAACTTACGTGTGTGAGTATCTATTGGATGTTTTCATACCACTAGTTCCCTGTCTAATTTAGTTCTTCTTCCAAAACAAAATTCTTTCACTGTTACAGGAAAGTGCGTTCCCTCTTCCAGGGGTTTTTGCATTTTGAAATGGCAATTGGGTTTGTTTTGCCTTGTTTTCATTTTTCATTTATTTACCTTCCATTATGAATTCTTTTATTCCACTTTATTCTTTGCTAGTTCATCTTACAGTGTTGTTATTTGCTATAGCAAAGGTAAAATGCTCATGCATCCTTGAGAGTCGGATCAAGACTTGAGAAAAGCAATGTTTCTAAAGCATTAAGTGCATTCATACTGCTGCAGTATGTACCCAATGTGTTAAGGATATTTTAAAAAGTCCTTAATAGCTTCAGTATCAAGGTGTTTCCAGCCACTGCTTTCTAAAATACAGAGATTGGGGTAGTCCAGCTGGGCTCCATGAGAGGAGCTTGACTTTTATTGCTTCGCAGAAGGTGCCAGAACTTTCCCGAAGCGGAATTTATTCAGGATACCTCCTGACCTGGTGCTCTTCGGAAAGTCTTTGTCTCAGATGGGTGATTAGATTTAGGATGTTGGCTTAAGGGGAAATGTACAAACAGATTTAGAGGGGGAAAGTGACAGTAACATAAATGTCCAGTCTTAGGGAGATAAATAGAGCAGTAGCTTGCCACCTTTGCAGCCATTACTTAGCAGCTGGCAGTGCTCTGGAGGCCACACGGGTGCCACGGTTAGCTGATCTTGCAGATTTCCTGCCAGTTCCCCTCCAGGTTTAAGGTAGTGTCAATCACTAAAAGACCTGAGAATCCTGAATAGCGGAGGATTTTCTAAAGGATCTGCAGGTGTTGCTTTCTCTACTGCTAAAACATTTAAAGGCTCGGCATCTACAGCAGAGTCCTTAGCTGAAGAGTTTCTTGCACAATTTTCTCTACAAAAGAGCTGGAAACTTGCCCTTTTCCATTTGGCTTAAAACAGAAATGCTCAGAAATGTTTTTGGAATTGTCAGATTAAAATCCCTCCCGTTCCCTGGCAATGTATGTGTGCTTGCCTGCCTCTTAGTTATAATAAGCTTTTTGCTTATTTACTTTTTTTAAAGGACATTGTAGGATAATATGTGTATGGGACTGTAGTGCAGAACTACATTTGTGATGTGAACAGGTGCATCACTGAGGCAGGAAACGGAGAGTACAGAGTCAGTGCTGAATGACAGCCTGCAGATGATCCATGTGTTAGTGTAAAGCCTTACCTAAAAATACTTTTTGTAAAAACTTCTGGTATGATCAGATGATTAATATGCTGAATTGTATGGCTAATACAATTTGCTGAATACAGCATCTGGTCCTTTTACAAAGTTTGTCCTTTACCCAGTAGTGTGGGTAGAAACCTGCCTTTGCTGTGTTTGACTTGTGCATTTCAGCTGCAGTACAGAGGGGTTTTTTCCATACTGTGGAAGGATCATTTGAGATGCTTTTCCTGTTCTGTGCTTTTTTTATAGCACTGCAAAAAAAATAAATAAATAAATTGTAGGATCTGTTTGATTATCATGAGTGAACAATGAATGAAGTTGGTGACTAAATGGTTCTAACATTTTCTTTGTTTCAGGTGGAAAGGATACTATAACATTCAGTGATCCAACCTTGCCTGTTATACAGCGGTCTAGGTCACCGTTGTTAGCATTTACGGACAAGCCACAGCAAACTGAAGTACAAGGTGAGTACCGGTAGGGTATGGAAAGTGATGACAGTTGAGCACTCTTTTCTTTCCAAATAAAAAGAAATAAATTTTCATGCCAGGGTAGCAGAAGGCAAAGTTTCGCTGGTTGCAGAGACTGAATAAATCAGCCACAAGTAAAATGGATAGATGGTCCCAGTAAAAATAGCAGAGACACCACTGAAAAATGACTATTGAATAGATTACACTGTGCTAGATATCAGATCTTACACCTCAAAGAATTTTCATGCCAGATAACTCAATACAGTGAGAAGTTATTCATGCCATCTATGTTACAGTTAACTGCCTCCTGCTCTTTTTCCCTTCTGTTAAAATGCACAGTAGGAAAGCAGCAGGCAAAACTGGCTTAGCACTTTCCTGCAGTATACCTGATATCTGCATGAAAGGCTTCCTGATTGCACCTGATAAATTGAAATACGCCACTCCTTTTTTGCAGAGAAATTGACTTTTCTTTTATAGTCTTGAATGTGTGTTGTTTAAAACCCTTCCCCAAAAGCAAGCTTTAACATCTTCTCTCCAAAGTCAAGCTTAACTTTATTTGACAAACAGTATTCTATGCATAACCTTAATTTTTTCCTTATTTTTTTTAATGGATGGAATATGGATTATTAGGCTTGCCTATCAGCATTTGGATGAGCTCTTTAATTGGCATAAGGTTTTGGTATGCCCAGATCTTACTCAGCATGGCTATGAAACATCATAAACAATGTATTTGTTAGTCCTGAAACTAAATAGATTGTGGCTTAATTTTGACTTTATCATCCATATCATCAGCTGATAAAACTTGACAGCCCGACTGATTGTTTTTATAATCTTGATCAGCTGATCTTTTCGCTAAAAATAAGAAATGAAACTATAGTGAATAGTTCTCCAGTGAGTAATAATAACTCATGTATATTCATTTTTTATGCCTGCTTAATTATTGATCTTTACTTAAATCGGCAGTTATTGAAAGTATTTATTTGATGGCATTACACTCTTTTCTTTACATATTTGCCCTAGGTGAGGTTACTATTACAGTTTCCGTTACAGCTGCCTGTCAGATCTCATCAGACCTTGTTTCTGTTGCTCTCTGATACTGCCAAACTTTAGCTGTGGGCTGAAGCTTTCCATGCTGTGTTTTCTACTTCAGCTGTTTTTTTTTTATTAACGTTACCCAAATCACTCGTTTGTGTTAAGCTCTCTTGACCATGTTTTTTGAAACATGGAAGCGTTTAGTACCGCTATAATTGAAAGACGAGGGAGTTGAAAGGTAGTCTCTTTGCCAGAGATGGTTTCCACTACTGAAGAAATTGGCTGGAGTTTACACCCCATTCCAAATCATTCATTTTTAATTCTCATCTGATTAAAAACAAAAAAAAAACCCACTGATGAGTCTGTCTTTGTTGAGCTTGTTCCGTGCCACTAGTGCTGATAAAACTGCAGGTACCATTCTTTCAAGATACTGTAAACCTAGAGAGAGGAAAAGCTGGAGCAGAGAGGAAAGGAAGTCTGTAGAACAAGGACTCTGAGTGGGACTCCCACGTGGTGAGAAGACTAGAAGAGATGAGAACTGAAAGAGATGAAGGAAGTCTGGGTGAGATGGGACCTGGGTCTGACTGCACAGCAAGGTCACAGCACAGGAGTGAGGAATTGAAGTTCTGACACTGAAAGCTGTGTCATAATAAAGACTGAAAGGAGGAGAAACAGGCAGTGTATATAGGACCTGGATGAACGAAGGGAAACAAGGAAGATCCAGACAGGGGAAGAGAGAAGACTGAAAGAGAAACACCTAGAGAGAGGAAAAGGCAGACAAGGATTGGGCAGTGGTCAGAAGAATCAGTGCCCAATAGGTCATGCTCCTTCCCCCTCCCTCTCCCCTGACTGTAAGAGAATCAAGGTGAAAGGCAGAGTCAGACATCCTGTGATAAAATTGGAATGGGTTAAGAAATTACTGTTCTGTCTGCACAAACAGCTTGGTTTTTTGTTTGCATTTGGCACAAAATACCTGATAGCCTGCAGTTAGAACTCAGACAACCTTAAGCTGTTACAGAGGTGGATTTTAAGTAAACTGGCCCAACTTTTCAGTGACACAGATGAAAACATATATAGCCCGTTCTCCCAGCCATAGCTTCTTAGCAGTAGATGGAGCAATAATAACTTCTTAAAATATTCCGGACCATTTTGCTGGAGGATGTTGGTTTGTGCTCTCCATCTTCCCTGCACAGCCTGGAGCAGAATCAATGTGTTTTCTGTGGGACACCTCCCTGTGCTTGGAGTTGCTTCTTCTGCAGTCAGCAGCTTCATGGGAATGGTACGCTAGGTTTCACCATTTATCTGTGTAGAGTCGCACAACTGTCTGTTGTTGAGTTTTAGGAGCTTGGTGCGTATTGCAATTTTTGATCTATACAGTGCGCCTCTAAAACCTCAGGGAACTTGACAGCCAGGAAGAACACGGGAATGTGTTCATCTGCCTTCATTTGGCAATCAAGTATGCCCTGCATTTAAAAAGTACTCCAGAAATAAAATCAAAACCGCCTTTATTGCTCTATTAGTTGAGTGATCAGATCAATGACAACAGATGATAAGCAGAATACAAACAGTTTTTAAAATGAGGTTCTTATAGCTTCTGAAATGCTAGGCCTGATGTCATGTTAGTGAACTATGATCATTTAAATAGTATAGTACAGTTGATCTGTGGTATGTATTTGGCCCAGGAAACCTTTGTAGCCTTGGCAGGAATGAACATTCGTTATCAGAACCTTCTGTGATATATCAAATGTTGCTCTAGCCATATCTGCAGGTAATCAGAGGTTTTGGGGTTTTTTTCGGACTTACTTGATTTGATCGAACTGCTTGCCCTGTTCTCATCAAGGCCTGTTTTAGTCTGTAGTTGTTATCATTGTTGCAGTGAAGCTAGATGGTTTACGTCTGTAGGATATAGCATGCAGCCTCCTTGTGAAAATGCATAACGTTGTAGTGTGGTCATATGAGTTAAAGACTACTTTTTCCACAGGATCTCCCTTTATCCGTTGCACAAGATGGATAGTGTTGTGTAATGGATGGTACTTGAACATCACAGCTGTTAGTGAGCAGCTACTCAGTTTTCTTTTTCTCTTCGTTGTTGAGCACATTGACTGTGCACTATTTCAAGCGTTCTCTGAAGATAGAAGTATTTTTTCTACAAGCTTTTCCTTGGTGTGCAAATGCTTTGAAATAATTTATCTTCACAAAATTGCAGCAAGGTGATGGGATGATGCTGTCCCACTGTAGAGGAAGGAAGCTGAGGCACACAAAGAATAATGCAGAGTCCTTACTAATTTTGAGTGCCAATTTGAGATACATAAGTTTTGGTTATTTTTAGGGCACTTAGAATATTTGTGTTCACATACATAATGTGAGCACGACAGTACTGCAAATCAAGCTCCCAGGTTTCCAGTTGAGTGCTCAGATAATGAGGATTAGATCCAGTGGGTAATCACCTTTGAAAGTTAATTTATCCCTGCTTTGCCACAGACTTAAATTCCAGCTCTTCAGAGCAGCATTCCAGGCTTTCTTAATCGTAGTAAGACTGTCTGTTCCCTTCATTCACTCAGCAGCTCCCGAATTATAGACGAGGCGATCTGATAGAGACAGTAGACTCCTTTATTGTATAGCTCTGATCCCTCCCTGCTGTAAGTCTGTTTTGTGCATTGAGTGAGGCAGGATTCCTGTGGGAGAAATAGAGTAAATGTGCGTATAGTAGAAGGTAATGCGTGTGCACTACAGGAGTTATTTCAAGCTGTCTATACAGACATCTTTCATTTCCTAATTTTTCTTACTTGACTTTGCAAGCTTATTTTCCATGAGGCTTTTTGTCCTTAATTGATATAAGGACGGATTCTTTCTCTTTTACAAAGCTATTTGTTTGCCCATTGCTGTTTTCTCTCTTCTGAAACTCTTTATCCTGTGTTGGGCTTTTGGTGTAATGGTATACTTAAAATTCTTCCACTGCTGCTTTGTTTTATGCTGTTACCCAAGTTTCCTTTTATGTTAGGAAAAATATTGCAGGACCAATAACAAAGCTTCATTATTGGATGAAAGCTTGTGAACAGAAAAATGGAGCTTGTGTTAACCCCTGAAAGTGGTAGTGATTTGGGGATTAATGTTAAACGCTGCCAAAAAATTCTGCGGCCAAGTGCCTTGCTTAGCGTTGTTGATCGTCCCTTGAAAACGTTTGCCTGAGTGTAGTGTTCTGTAGCATGGTATGGGCTATGCCGCTTTTAGAGCTGTCAGTTAGGGAAATTTTACAATCCAGTTAATGTTGGTTGCTTGTAATCTCAGAAATGGGCCTCAGGTGGGATAAGGAGTCACTCCAGATATTCCCTTACCAAGGTAGAAATCTCTGTAGTTTGACCCTGTTGTGATGATCTTCAGGTCAGATATGTCAATATATGAGACTGACTAGAGCATATTGCTGTTCCACTTCTCTTTCAGCAGAACAGAAGGGAGAACATGATGAAACTTGTGCTGTTGCAAGAGAGCTGATGGCTTCAGAGGAAACTGATAAGGATTCTGTCAATTCCCCAACAAACTTAAATAACAGTAACCAAAATAAAAATTTTTGTCCTTCGTTACCCCAGTTACCTTCTGAGGAAGAAGAAATAAGCAGGCTTGGAAGTCAAATAATTAAATTGACAGAAGAAGAGGCCATCGTGAAACTGGAAGGGAAGAGAACAGAAAATTCATTGGGGGGGCTGAACACAGTGGTTGGATCAGAGCGTAATGGTTCGTCTCAGGGGGAGCTCCCTTTATCCAGCCCTGACCCATCCGAGCCCACAGATCCCTCAAACTCAGAGAGTGAACAGGCAGCTGAAACTGAGGTCCTGAAAGACAATGATGAAACCTCAGAGAGCGATTGTGAAATTATAAATGAAAGAGGGAATCAAAATAGCAGCACTGTGGGTGTTGAGGACCCTGGAAGGCACGGAGGTCTCAGTGCTACATCTGCACACACAAATAACAGCTTTGAGGAGCTCCCTGAATCTGAAGGCAAGAAACCATGTGATCCTACTGAAAACTGTGAATATTTGGATAACAGTTTGGCTTGAGGTATGAAGTCCAAGCCCTCGAGCTTCTCCCAGTCATCCTCTTGCAGTGCAAGCTGTGCTGCTGTGAATGTGGATAGTTACTGGAACAGTGTGTCATAGGGTTGATTTTTACATCAGTCTGTTAATATTTGTCTAATAATGGTGTTTTTGTGTTAGTTTTGGCTATAGTCTACCAAAAATATAGATTACCTAAGGGAAGGAACTTGAAGCTGATGAGGTTTGATCATGTTGTTTGTAATGATTTGAAGTTTCTAGATAGGTTGACATAGCTTACAATAATGTGGTGAAGAGACCAGTGATGATAACGTATCATGCCATGTCATCACCAGGCTTCTGTAGTGTGTATGGTCTTAGGGCTGGACTGTATTTTGGTGGCTAGAAATGCCTTCCAAAGATGAAAAATTTGAAATGCAGGCTTTTGTTCATTTCTGCATTCTGTTTCTCTACGTAGTGACTCTTAAGTACATACTTGGAATAAAATCACTTATTCCTTAATAGGAAGCAAAATATTTTCTGAATATCATCTCTGCATGTATGTAGTTCCCTCATTTCCAACCTTAATATATTCTCAATTGTGTTAAATTTTTCCTTCCCTCCCCCAGCTTGTCTCAGGAAAATACAGGGAGTATACTGAGAACCCAGTTTAATGGAGCTCTGAAGGAAACCTCACCAGAGAAGCTAAAAGTCTTTCCGTGAGATACGGCAATGCTGTTCCAAAACGAGGAGAACAGCAAGATGAGGACCAGCGATGCCCTGTCCAACTGCTTGGCTTTCTTAATGCCACTTACAGGATTGCATTCCTCAGCCTCCAGGCATTGGAGCAGCCCTTGGGCTGCGTGACGGGCAGTGGATTCCAGCCTACTCTGCTTCATTTCTACCCTTGTTTTTAAAGGAATCTGGGTCTTTTTATTTTCTTCTGGTTTGGAATTAAGGATAACTCTTCCTTTCCTCCGCATTTCACCAGTCTTTGGTACAGCAGAAGGCTTACCTCATTTGTTGTGGCTTTCTTATACTTCTTCCCTTGTTGATGTTTAGTCATAAGAAAACATTCCAATAGTAACTGGGGAAGGAGGAGGCTGCTGTGCCAGTCCCCAGCTCCCTACTGGTGCTGGAGCTGTGCCACTCTGCTTCCAGAAAGGCAGCAACAAGGGAATACTGAAGAAGAAATAGTCTCTGCAGCTGTGGAGCTTCTATGGGCCAGCAGCCGTCAAGGCAATTTTTCTGCTGGCGTGGGACCTAATTGTCTGTAAATGTGCATTTCTCACTCCTAGAACTTGAAACCAATCAGAAAGAATTAAACCAAATTTAATAAAATACTACTAATAAAGAGGAAAATCCCTCCCAGATTGAGTCCTCTTTTGACAAATAACTGCCAGCTGCAAATTTTTACAGCCCACTTGTCAGCTACTGAATAAACAGAGTTTATATTAGCAATACTGACAAACTCCTCTATCTATGGAAGCTGAGCTAGCAGGTGCTGCCGTAATCAAGGTGTCGGAGTCCATGAACAGTTTGAATTCAGCAGAAGAAAGGCTGCATGTAAATGATTACATACAAATATAAGGAATTATGGTGGGAAGGTGAAAAATGTGGCTTGTCTCTGTTTTCAGGCATTTTCCCTACCAGGTGCGTTCGTGTAACCCTTTCAGTGTCTGTCTGCTGGCAATAAAGCAATACTCACCATGCTCCTCAAAAATGTTTCCTTTCTCTTTAAAGGTACCTTGGCATTGTAGCATTTCGCTGGTATCAGGCAGCAGCCCTTAGGAACAGAAAACATCTGTATATTTAAGAGCGTTAGGGACATGAGGCAGGAAAAAGTTTTTCTTTCAGTATCCTGATCACAGTTTTAAGTTCCTCCTCACCTGGAAACCGAGAAGAGTTTAAGTATTTGGAAGACCGTTATGCTGTTCCCATTAATTGTAGCTGACTGCATTATTGACTCATTTATATGACAATACTGTCAAGTTAGAAGAGAAATAGCTGCAGACCTTGAAATCTCTGGGAGAATGTGGCAGGATTTTTTACTTTAATGCTTGAATGTTACATGAAGTGTCATTTTATTCAAGATATATTCTTTTCCATCCTTTGTAATTCTGTGCAGAGCTAAATATTGCAGTCAGTGCAGTCAGAACTGAGGCAGGCTTCTAACAAAAAGGTCAGGATTTCTCATAGCTGAACTGAAATGTTTGGGGTGTTTTACGGCCATTATTCTCCTGTCCTGTGTCTTTCCTGACCCACAATAGCGTGCATTGACATTTGCTCCTGGTCTCTTAATTGTTGGTTAATACTATTCGTTAACAATGTGCTGGTGCAAAAATTAGAGCAGGCGAGAGTAGTAGCTTTTTAGTGCCCAAATCGTTGGTTCTTTTTAACATGGTTTTTCTGTGAGAAGAACAGACTGATGTATAATCCATAAATTCGGTCATCTTGGTAACTATTGTCACACCATCCTCTCCTCTTAAATGCCATTTTTGTATCTTTGCAATGATTTAGTGCCAGCTTAGATATCTAGATGTCTGGAAACCTCATTCTTTAGTGCTCTGTTGTTGGTGCAGTACTGTTCTGTCTGTTGTGCCCAAGTGAATGTATATTCCCAGCTAAGTGTTTAGCCTTCACCCGGGAACACAAGACTTCAATGCCAGGACACTTGTAAACGTAAGACATCTTTGCTGCACTATGTAATAACTAATTGAGTATTATTGTCAGTATTCTCCTTGCATATTGCTTTAATTGATATTGTTATGCTAACAGCACTATGGGTTTTTTTCAGTATGTTCATTCCTGTTTTGCTGAGGAGAGAATCAACACTATTTTGTTTTATCCTGAGGCTTGTTTTGTCTCTTTCTAGGACTTTAAAAATGCAGAAATCGCATCCAGCCACAAGCCCTTTTGGTGTTAGGCTCTGGGAAAGCAAACTGGGAAGGGGAATGGCAGGGGTACAGAAGAGATTGACATATTTCACAGACTGATTTTAAGGAGGTTGTCTCACCTAAATGTAAATTCATGCATTATCTTTGAGAAGGTTTTCATATGAAAGTACTGTGTTGTAGCTATTTGAAAACTAACCTTGAGTGAATTTGTAAAATTAGTGTGTGAAAATGACAGGTTAAGAAGCATCTTTTAGAATAATGCTTCCTTTCTAAGTGAGACTATTTTTAAGCATATGGCAATTTGTATAATAAAGGCAGTGGAATTTCTTTAATCCATATGGGCTCAGGAATGTATTCTAGAATCTTAACTGAGATTAAGTTGAAAGTCTACTACATTTTTGAAAGATAGAGTTTTGTTTACTAGCTTCTCTTTTGTAGGGTGTTTTTTTTTTTAATGACGTTTAATTTATTTGCAAACCTTTCTTTTGTTGCTGCTTGGATTAAATATGTAACATGGTTCAACAATATTAATATATTTTGTCATCTTTAATAAAGGCATATATTTCCTGATATGCTTGTTTTATCTGCTTGTTTCCTTGTTTTCTCAGTACCAGATGAATATTAGTCATGAGTTAGTGTTTCAGCATTTTCAATGAGTTGTGTTAAACTGTGAACATGCATTAAAAAAGTAAAGCTTTTTTTAGTGAGTTTTAAGTCTGTTGAAAATTATCTGAATTAAACATTTCTGCTGTCGCTCTTCTCAGTCTAAATTTGCTTTCTGAATTTTTGTACAAAGAATCACACTCAGTAGTTTTTAACTTTGAAAATACTATTTATCTCTGATCTGCTACTTTATCATCATGGCATAAGCAGCATTAAAACTTTTGTATGTAATGTAGTTACTAATCATCACAAACTGGAGGCATTAGGGAGTCTTTGTTGGGGAGTGGTGGGTGGTAAACTGGAACATTTCTTGTAAGTCTGCTTTCAGCAATTGAGGCTGTGACTCAGCTATAGCCGTGTGGACAACCTAAACCAGTTAAGAAGCTTATACATGTTTGAGAATAAAACCTGCAAATACAAGTAGAATAATATAAAGTTTAAAATAGAAATGTCTGTACTTCCCCTGAATTTGAGGGGATATCCATTATCCAGGTCTCAGAACACACCACGCAAAACTGTTGAAAGCATAGAGGTCTTTTTACCTTTCAGATTTGTAGCTCAATACAGGATAGCATCTAATCAGAGGCAGTTTCATATTTATTGGTGCCTTTTTGTCTCTGTTACCTCAGCTTACAGTCTCTTAAGAAGTCCTTACAAAGGACAGGCTCTTTACAGAATTTGTCAGCCCTATATGTTAGCACTCTGACTGAAATGCATTTTGAACTTCCAAACTGCATAAAAGGGAATCCTACATCTTCAAGCAAATACATCACAGTGTTGAGTTGATGCTGTTTTTATTGATCTGCTTACAGAAAAGAGACTTTCTACAAAGTGATACACATTTCTTAAAGCAGCAGCAGAATGGAAATGGGAATCCTTTTGCCATATATCTTAGTGGCCAACAGCATAGCTTAAGGTACTTTGTGCTGCCCAGGCGGTAGCCGATTTGTTGATCTTCAGTTAAGCCTGGCTGTGTGTTCGCTTGTTGAGCCATCTCTTCTTCTTGTCTGCAACCTCAGACAGTTTCTCTTCCCACAAGTTCTTGTTGCATATCCCAATCACACAGCAAGCTAGACGTTTGCCAGCATTTCCATTTTCCAAACTGGCCTTGTTGTTGCCTTTGCCCATGTCATCTTCCTGCTCATGAATCACAACGGATCTGCCCAGGATGGAATATGGACCAAACATAGTGGCAGAGAGGTTTGGTTTGTATTTTCTGATTTTGCCTTCTTTAGGGAAAAAGTTGCCAAAATCCCCTGGGTGATGAGGGTGATTCACGCCGAAAGGGTTATAGTGTCCTGCTGTAGAATCACAGCCGTCGCTGAGATCTCCGAGCTTGTGGATGTGTATAGCTCTCCCAGACTGATTGTTATGCAATGGAAACCCATCCAAGTCAAAAATTGCTTCTAATCTTCCATATGAGTAACACTGTTTGAACAAAACTCGTCCAGTCACTTTTGGCTTGTTAGCATGTATTTTGGAGTTGGGCAGCATTTCACAGGTGGCATAAAGTATCCCATCAGTCTCATTATTAACCATTACTGGATAGAGCAAATTCTGCCAGAGGTCATTCACTTTTTTCTGTATATCATGAAATGGCTCTGAATTTGGATCGGTTTCTGTCACGGCACCAGAGGCGGAAAGGGCAAGTCCAGTGACCAGAGAAAGAAGCAGAAGCATCTTGGTAGTTCAGAGCCTGCAAAATATACAAGAAGCTACAAAGAATTAAAGGCTTTTTGCGGCAGTGTGGCTGGAGAGGAAGGCACGAAGCCTGCAGTGGTACTGAGCAAACAGGTGGAGCAAGGTCCAAGTACACTGCTTCCTTCTAAATCTGTCTACTGTAGAGAATCGTAACTAAATCAGGATGCATACGCATTTTTAAACACATACATACAACCGACAAGCATGACTGAAAAAATACTAGTGACTTCATATTTCACACTAGATCTTCATCTGGAAAAACTATTTCTTTTTCCCTGCAGAAATCAAGTAATCTGAACTGTTGTTTAATCTGTTCTTGGGTTTCTATTGAGTCTTTTCTCTTCCTGCAAATTCCAGTAAGACAGGTTGCCAGAAGGCTTTTTCTGGTCCACATACTTAAACGTTAGTTCTTACAAACGGCGAATAAAAAGCCAAACAGTTGATTACCTTTCCAAGCTGCTCCAGAGCTTCTCCCTAGTAGCCTTTTGTCTCTGCTCTCAGAAAATGGGATGTGCTTAAACAAAATCCCAGCGTTGTTTGAAGTTGATGCGTATGGGAGCTGCTTGTTTGTGTGAAAGTTAGGTAACAGCAGTGCCGGGGAGTGGTCACGGAGAACTGTGGGAGAGGGGGGGGAAAGGGATTTGAACATTTTCATTTTAGGCAGGGTAAACAGTTTGTCCTCTCTGTGGAGGAAACTGGCTCCCAGTCCTCCCTGGCCTTCCAAAAAAAGGAAGAAGCTTTTAAATCAAGCTTTTAAAATAATCTTCCTTTTGATGACTTCATGTGTTTATCTAAACCCAGTGGCCTTCAATATGCAGCGAGGAGAAAAAAGTAGCTTTATTAAGGTACAGTCAGATCGTTCTTTCACTTAAATTATGGTTGTCATGGAGTTGTTTTGCATTTTTATGTCTTCATTA